GCTATTGGGGGTTTGTGGACCCTAGATTGATGAAGTTGAACTTCTGTAATTAATGAACTAAGTCGGAATTAAGTGATTAAGGACTTATGGCTTGGTATGGAGTCTTAAGACGTAAAACGTAAGGAAAGGCGTTGTCTTTAAGTTATATGCTTGTGTTGCATTATTATTGATATAGTATTGGTCCATAACAGATTGTGAATCTGCTGTGTTTGGACTTTGAGCTGTGGACTCTTGGCTTTTGGAGTTAGCTTGCAAGGTAAGCTTTCGTGTCCTCGGTTTAGCCATGTTGTGGTTCCACCATGTCCCATGGGGGTATGGTTCATGCATGCTGTGTACATGCTTTTGGATATTTGATATGTTGAATGAACTTTACATGTAATGGCTTTTAATATGCATGTGTTGTTTCATCTTGACGGGAAGCCTGAGTATGTAGCGCCATACAAGACGGTGTACCGGGGTGAATGCAAGTGGTACTTGCACGGTGTGTAGGTGATAGACGTATACCTGCACTGTCTCTGGCCAGTAGATTAGTATTGACACACATGACATGATTATCTGCTGCATTGCATTGTTTTAGAAATGATAAATGATAAACTGCTTTTTGAACTTATATTGCACATGTAAGTGAGCTTGGGGTGGAAGATCCTTGAGGACTCACTGACTTACTGAGATTTCTAGATTAGAGATCTTACCCCACGTTTGGGAAATGCTTATTTCAGGATCAGGTAGTATGGGTACTGATGCCTCAGGCGGCGGGAGGCCGGAGCTTAGCTGATTTTGTTGTTTCTGCTTATATGTTAGCATGACTGGATTTGGATGCTGTTTATGTTTTCCGCTATTTATGATATGATGTTGTTGAGACTGATGTTGGGCATGTTGCCTTATTTGAGTGAGCATGGGGATTGTCCATGACACTTTCTGTTAGTACTTTAGTTTGGAGTTGTATAAACTGTTAGATGGTCCGGTCTGCATTGTTGTATTTCCGTGACTAGAGCCACATTTATTTTATCTATGTTATGAGGTATTTCAGTTAGCTGTTTTATTGCAATTACATACAGGCGATGTTTTATTAATTGATTATTAAGCAAGTTGGTAATGTTAATGTCATCATAATTGAAAAGAAAAAGTAATTCCGCGTTCTAATTAAGCGCAGCTTAATACGATATTATGATAACATTACCGGATATATATACGAGGTGTTACAAACACCATCGATCATCTCTTCTAGAAGATGCACCATCAGAAAACTTGGTAAAGGAACTCCTTCGAGAAGAGGCCATACTGCACAAAACTTGTCAAAGAATAGCACCAAGTATCCAAAAAATATGGAAAAAATACCAAACGACGTCCGATCTGAGAAAAAATCATAGATCCAGAATGAGGATGAAGAGACGATCTGAGCGCTGTTGACCGGAGCTGGAAAGAAGTAGTCACGCGCCTCCACGCGCCGGTGGAGGTGTCTACGAGTGGGCCTCACTCGCCGGGAGTGTGGCAGCGCATGCGGCGGCCGCCGGAGCTGGGATTTTCACCGTGACGTCGTCCGGAGGTGGCGGTCCCTTCTGTGGCTGAGCGGAGTCCAAACGGTCACCAGAAAGTACTGTTCCAGTGATGAACAGTAGTGGGTTTGAGTCGTTCTTAAGAGATCCGGCCGTCAATTGATTGTAAAAGGTCCACAGACTGATAGATCAGAGAAAAAAAAGTTTGAAAACAGGTCCTCTCGATCCAAAAAAGGTCCCCGGAAAAAATTTTCCGGTGGCGGCTGATTGGAGGCGAGAGGAGGAAAGGAGAAGCGGTAATTGCGGAAGCAGAGCCCTCAGGATCGAGAGCTCTGATACCAACTTGAAAGAAAAGGGTATTTGAAATATTATTGAATTGTGTATAATCTGTACAAAGGGTTCTCTATTTATAGAGAATACTTGACCTAATTTTGACCTAATGGGCTTGGCCCAATACAACAAATAAATAACTAAATAATAACTAAATAATTATTATTTACAACAGAAACACATTCAAATTTTGGTATCAACTTATAAAATTAAAAAATTCTAAAATAATTTGTTTAACCATGAAAAACAAGCAAGAATAATTTTGATATTTCAGTTCAAATTTAAATACCAATACTTAGAGAGAATTTATATTTTAAAAGAAATTTTGTTAATAATATTTTGATATGAAATAACTCTTAAACCAATTATCTTTTTGTTCTGTCTTTTATTAAACAAAGAACCTACCCATTTAAAATTTCAGATGCGAATTTGTACATGTGCATGTGTCAATCTTATAATCAATAAGTAATCAAACACTTGCTTAGAGATCAAAACATTACAGCAGGATTGAAGGATCAGCAACAAACCATGTTTTTATATATATGACATTTGCATCCCAGTCCCATTTACAAGTAATGCGCCGAAAATTCAGCAGTACTTCCACAATTAATAGACGTGTCCTCTTCTCCTCTTCTCGATGGAGAAATTCTTGTGTGCTTTTTTCTCCCTTAAGAAAACTGTAGATACACAAACAAAAATATATAGTGTTTAATTCAATATTGTTTCTATATATACTCGGGTGGAGCTACATGGGGCTAGAGTACGCCCCGCCTCTTTCTAAAATATGAAAATATGGTATACTATGTGAAATGCAACATGGTCTGTAAAAATAAAATTTTGAAAGTGCTTTTAAAAAGTGAAAAACAAGTGATGTTATTTATAAGAAAAATATTTCACCCGTTCATTGCACCCAATTAGAGATAACTATTATTTACCAGATTCAATCTGTCAGCATATATGACAGGTTTTGTTCCTGGTCTGCTACCCTTCCAAATCAATGGAAAGCTGGCTTTTCCATTGTATACAAAAGATAGTTCAGTTAGTAATGCATATTTCACTCTACCTGCCAAATTTGTCTAGAATTTGATTTTATATTGATTGATTATCTAATTTTCTTTTTATAATTATTAAAAATTTGTAATTGTCATGTAAGAACTCAGGAGAAAAGTATTTAAGTTTTGATTTTGTTGGCAAAGAAAAAAAGGTTAGTAATAGTTATCAATTATTAGTTGGGACTAAATGCTAAAGATAAATAACATATTAATTAATTTACTATGTCTTCTGCTAAATAACAACTAAATGAGAAAATAAGATTCCGAAGAAATCAAAGAAAGTCCAATTAAAACACCAAAAGGCGTGAAGGTAAACAATAAAAAATTGATCTTACAAATAAAATATAGGATTTTAAGGCTAGTTCCTCATTAAAATAGAAGGTATATTGGACAATTGTCGCCGAAAGCAAAAAATTGACATTCCAACAAAAAAATGACAAAAAATTATGTAATTTTATTAGGTTCTTCTTAACAAGTATTTTTGTATTCTTAGTGATTATCCAACCAAAATTGACATTGTTTTTTCATAATAGTAATATAAATTTTCATCCCATCATATAATTTTATGGGTCCGCTACACACTGGAATTATTCCAACAAGAAGTAAGCATTTCTCTCCTCAAAGTGCGATATCAACAGGGCTGCGAAGATACATGTGAGTAGTCAGAAATTCAGGTTGTGAATGCCATTTTTTTAATAAGTAAACATAGGCGGAGAGTATTTTCTACAGTTTTTTATTTATTTTTTCTTTAGAAAAGTTGACAACTGCGTTAAAATATTATTATTTTAATAATTAATTACTAATAGGTTGTAATTTGAAAATTATTTTTGAATTTATTGCAGTTATTTATGTCCAAATTAAGCGTGATTATTCACGCCTAAATTAAGCATGACTCCCAAAGCATTCACACCTAATTTAGAAATTTATTCTACTTTAAAATTTATTTATAATTTTTTTTTATCATAGTAGATAGTTCAAATCCTAAGAATGAAGAAAATAATCTTGAAAAAACTGCCCCCCTACAATGCGTCGGACAATGCTCAAACCGGATTAATTGAGTAATTAATGATGTGGTGGATATACCCAAAATACTTGATTGTGTTGGCCAGCCTTAAACTCTATCTTTCTCATCTGTCATTTGATCAAAATTAATCACATGGTTTCTCAAAGATTAATGGGATCACGTCACATGTAAAATTAATATTTTAAGGGGATTGACGTAATCAATTTTAATTAAAATAAGATAGATTGATAAATAATTTCTAGCTTAATAATTGTTTTTAAAATAAGAGAACTGAACAAGTTGAAAGTTTTGGTTGGTTTTAAGGTTCAACTCAGATTCATATAGACACTTAGCTGGTATGCAATTAAAGAAAAGCTGGTACGTGTAAAGATGTTAGTAGGACTCTAACTTTAGACCAAAATTGTAAAACTAACAAACATGGTGCTTATGCGCATGTATATATAAATGCTTTGACCAAAGCACTTAAGGAGGAGTAAGGACTAAGAATGCCTATACTTGAAAGGTGCCCTTCCCAAGTGTAGATGCATTTTAGTGGTTGACTTAATTAATAATATTCGTAAAGAATCAATTCAATTCAAAAAGTTTAAGTTATTGAGTGAGGTTATATTAATGATTTTTATATATCTCAATATTTTTTCACACGAAAGTTCACTGAGCTTGAAGGGTGGACAATGCATAGGTTCACCGTGAAAAAAGAAATTCCACTAAAAAGAAAGTTGAGCGGTGAGAATCGAACCCGGTACACCGAGTTTCTGATACTATATATAAAGAATCAATTCAACCAAAAGTTTAAACTATTAGATGAGACTACATTAATGGTTTTATATATCTCAAGAACCTCCATCGTTGCCATTCTTACACACCAACTTGGTGTAATACACATCGTGAATTGAGTGACTTGAAACTCTGGATTTTCCATTTTCCAAGCTTTCTTACGCCGAAGATATTGTGGTGCCACTTTGTATAGTTATATAATTCAAACTTGCATGCAACTTTTCTCACATGTATCTGTAATCGTCAGCATCTGCAAAACTTTCATCCAATTCCCTCGTTTACATTATGAAATCATTACATAATCCTTCCAAGACGCAACCTCTGATGAAATTCATTTTAGTCTCCTCTTCATTCTGTGCTATTTCTCTCTTGGTATCTGTGCTACTCTTAGCAACATCAAGGATAACAGACATGGGTTCATCACCACAAGATGTGTCTGATTTGACCACTCTTGATCATCTTGTGTTTGGAATTGCTTCTAGTGGGACTTCATGGCCTAAGAGGAAGGAATATGCAAAGCTATGGTGGAATTGGAAATCCAATAAAAGAATGAAAGGATGTGTATTTGTGGATAGTCTCCCAACCCCAGTTGAAAAAAATGCTAAAAATGATGATTCTCTTCCTCCTTTATGTGTCTCTGAAGATACTTCAGAGTTTCTCTACACTTACCGACCCGGTGGTCTAAGATCAGCAATCCGTGTGGCACGTGTTGTGAAAGAGACTGTGGCATTGAATCATTCAAATGTTAGATGGTATGTGTTTGGGGATGATGACACAATTTTCTTCCCTGAGAATCTGGTGAAAACTCTTTCCAAGTATGATCATAGGCTTTGGTACTATGTTGGCGAACACACTGAGATTTATGAGGGATCACAGGTTTTTGGTTTTGGAATGGCTTTTGGTGGAGGTGGTTTTGCTATCAGTTCCTCTCTAGCAAAAGTCCTGGCCAAGGTTTTTGATTCATGTATACAAAGGTATCCACATTTGTATGGAAGTGATGCCAGGGTGTACTCTTGCATAACGGAGCTTGGTGTAGGATTAACACATGAACCTGGTTTTCATCAGGTAACAATTAATTTGAAATGCTGAAAACTATTTGTGATACTTTTTTCACACTTTATCCTCAGAAATTAGTAGCTAGAGAGCAGTGGTAAAATTGTTGGTTCGAATTGGAAAAACAGTTTCTTTGCAAATACGTTAGGATAAAGCTGCGAATTGACTCACCCTGACTCGCGAATACTCTCGCTAGTCGTGTTTAACACGAAATGTTTTTTTTTTTATTCTTCTAATTATTCCTTTATTTTGTGATTATGAAATTGAATTAGGTTGATTTGCGGGGAAATATCTTTGGCCTATTGGCTGCACATCCATTAACTCCTTTGTTGTCCCTACATCACCCTGCTCACACTGATCCTATCTTTCCTAACATGACAACTACAAATTCTCTGCAACATTTATTTGAAGCGGTAAATGTTGATTCTCAAAGGGTCCTACAGCAAACAGTTTGCTATGAAAGACGGTTTTCATGGACAATTTCAGTGTCATGGGGCTATGCTGTTCAAGTATTCCAGAACAATATGGTTTTGCCAAATGTTTTGAGAGTGCAAGAAACATTCAAGCAATGGAAGGAGGGAAATGTTTCGGCAGGATTATATACTTTCAACACAAGAAAACTTCACCCTGATCCATGTAAAAGACCCACCATTTTCTATCTTGGCAACATATCTTCTGGTAAAGATGGCATCATAAGCAGCTATGTGAAATCTTTTCAGAATTGCTCAGATGACAAGGCATCAACGAAGAAACTGGAAGTGATCAAAGTGGTCACAAGTAAGTTAGACCTTGACAGCAAACAGGTAATCTATATTGGACACTGGTACTTCTTCATATCTTGGCTATTAGTTTACATAGGTTATAATAGTTATAAACTATTCTTTTGTATTCAGTTGCAGAGTCCAAGAAGGCATTGTTGTGATGTGTTGCCTTCTACCTCTAGTAACCTAATGGAAATTGCAATCAGAGAGTGCAAAGATGAAGAATTGATTTACATGCACTGACAGATCAGAATTCAGAAGTATATGTTATATTAAATCTCTGTTTATACGCCTAAGTAAAAGGCATCAAAGAAGAACGTTACCAGTGTATATGGCATGTCATGAGATGGTTGTAAGGGTATCACCAATCTAGAATTCCATTTTTCATAGATGCTAGAAGAGCTACTTATTTGTTCTCACAAAATGATTTATAGAGAAGGACAAACCTACACAAGTATTATAAAGAAATCAAATAAAGAAAAAGCAAAAACACTTTCTAATGTAAAGTTACTCCGAGGAAGCACTGATTTTTTATGTAAGTTGGTCAACAGTACAATATTTTGTAATGATTTTGGTTATCTTTTAGCCTCAGTATTTTCTAAAGTTGTACTTTCCAAATGTTGGCATTCTTTTTTGTCATATTCTAAATAAATAGGCATAAAATTACATCTTTGCTTTTGGTACTAAATATAAAGGGCAAACTCCAGTGAGAAAGACTACTTATTTCAAAAGTAGTCAAGATTAAAATCCGTGGTTGAAATGTATTTGGATTCAACCAAATGCACCAAATCCCTGCAATCAATGCATTTTTCCACTTAGCTTTATCAATAATGGAAATTCAAAGAGGCATGTCCAGAAACATACGAAAAATAGCTTGTAGTAGGTGCATTAAATAATCATAAATGTATGCTTCCACATTGCCTCTCCCTAAATAAATTTGGAGTACTTCTTTGAGCAAGTCATAGTTTACATACTTTTTTTCTTGTGGAGTTTTGGCTATCGTCATAGTTTGGTGTCCCCAAAATGATATAAATATTCATTGGGGGTTGCGAATATCATGTTACAGGAAGGAGGATCAAATTCCTGCTGACACAGATTTAGGTGGGACCATGAATTTAAAGAAAAAAAAAGTTTAGCACGACAATAGATGTTAGTGATGTTAGTGCAGGAAATACTGTTTCTCTTCCAATAACATTACAGTTATATTTCCCATATTCATTTCAAAATTTCAATTGCTTTTAAACTTGAAATAAGGTTGTCTAGTTTTTCAAAAAAAATGGTTGTCTAGTTTGTATATTGTTGTAAATTTAATCGTGGAGATACAAGTTAACAGAAGAAAAATTTACAGGAGGCACAATAATTTTTACTTGTTCAGAAACTTGTTATTAGCAAGTTTCCTACATCAAGGACAAAGGGCTAAAATCCCCTTTATCAGCTTGAATTAAATCAGAACCCCAATACAATGTGCAAAGAACATAAAGCATCTACAACTCAGAATCAAAAACAACACTCTAAAGAACAGCACCTAAGAGATCTAAACATGCATCAGAATACAAGAATGAAAAGAAAACACACACTGGCATGTAATATCACACAAAGTGTCAGATACCCATGCACCAGTTGAACCAGTGAGCTTCTACGATCTTGGATTAAAGCCACCAAGTCCCGAGCGAACAACCCAGCCGCTCCTGATCTTGATCTTCAATCAATCCTGCAAAAGAGAACAAGAAAACAGAGGTGCACACAAGGAGAAGAAGAAGCACACAGGTAATCACAAGATTAACCAAACCGAAGGGGTGATTTCTTGATGAAATCAGCAAACCCTATGATAGGGTTTCAGAGCGCTTTTGAATCGAGAAAGAAAGACAAAGAGAGAGAGATATAAATCGAGTAGATCACTTTTTAATGAATAAAGGAAGATCAGTTTTATATATATATTCAATACACAAAACTGAAGCAATAAAACGCAAACGACACCAAAAGGAACAAAACGCAAAAGACTTATAAAAATTACCCAATAACCCCTATTTTAGGAATACCAATGAAGTCCACAAACTCCACCTTATTCCTAAAATCACGAAATAATGCAAGAGTAAAGTGGTTTGGGATATTAACCCAATGTCATACATGCCTACAGATACAACTAGCTACCAATATGTAACAAATCCAGGGCTTTCCTAAATTTGCTACATGGAACAGTCTTGGTGAATATGTCAGCAGGATTCACTTCAGTGGAAATCTTTTTAATTTTAACAAGATCAGTAGATACAACATCTCTAACAAAATGCAACCTAACATCTATATGCTTGGTCCTTTCATGATATGCATTATTTTTAGATAGGTGGATGGCACTTTGAGAATCACACATTACCTCAGGTTGAGCCTTACCAAAACCCAACTCAGAAGTGATGCCCTTGAGCCAGAGAGCCTCTTTGACAGCCTCGGTTAAAGCAATATATTCAGATTCTGTAGTTGAGAGTGCTACAATATGTTGCAAGTTGGATTTCCAGCTTACAACATTACCTCCAACCGTAAAGACATAACCAGTAAGAGACCTCCTCTTGTCCAAGTCTGCAGCATAATCTGCATCACAATTATCCTTAACAACAAATTCATTAGAGTTATTTGCAGAGTAATGCAAACAAAAATCAGAAGTACCATTCAAGTATCTAAATAACCATTTGACAGCATTCCAATGATCTCTATTTGGTTTACTCATGAACCTACTGACCACACTCACACCATATGCAATGTCAGGCCTAGTTCCTATCATGGCATACATCAAGCTACCTATTGCATTAGAATAAGGAACTTTGCTCATATATTTAGCTTCTTCAACAGACAAGTTATCAACAACATATTTCAACTTGAAATGTGCACCCAAAGGAACATTAACACATTTGGCTAATTCCAAAGAGAAGAATTTTATAATTTTCTTTACATAGTGGGACTGTGAGAGGGATAATGACTTATCCTTCCTTTCCCTATGAATGTCCATGCCTAGAATTCTCTTGGCTGGACCTAGGAGTTTCATATCAAACTCCCCCCTTTAACATCTCTTTAATTTTACAAATTTCTTTTATGTTCCTAGAAGCTATCAACATATATGAGCAAGTACACATAACAGTCATCATTGACAGCTTTGTAATATACACAGAGATCATATTTACTTATAATAAAACCATGTGATATTACAAAATCATCAAATCTCCTATACCATTGTCTAGGAGATTGCTTAAGACCATATAATGACTTCTTAAGCAAACAGACTTTATTTTCAGAACCTTTCTTTATGAAACCTTCAGGTTGTTCCATAAAAATTAGTTCATCCAAATTTCCATGCAAAAAAGCAGTTTTAACATCTAGTTGTTCTAGTTCTAAATCAAACATGGCAACAACAGACAATATAATCCTAATTGATGTGTGCTTAACAACCGGAGAAAAGATTTCATTATAGTCTATACCCTCTACTTGAGAGTAGCCTTTAGCTACAACTCTAGCCTTGTACCTGGCCTCCTCTAAACCAGGGACAGCAGGCTTTTTTTCTAAATACTCGCCTGCAACCAATTACCTTTTTACTCTTTGGTTTATCCACAAGAACCCAGGTCTGGTTCTTTTCCCAAGATGCCATTTCCTCCTTCATTGCTATGAGCCACTGGTCTCTTGTGCTCATCTCCATGGCCTCTTTAAATGAAGATGGTTCTTCTTCATCCACCTCACTAGCAACCTGCAAGGCAAAAGCTATTATATCAGCATGGGCAAACCTACTAGGGGGTCTAATGACCCTCCTAGTTCTGTCTCTAGACAACAGATAATCAGAGAGATTAGAATCCTCATGATCATCTGCAGGTGGTGTCCCTTCTTGGACATCCGAGGGTTGATGAGCATCCCCCTCATGCTCATCATCATCAGTTTGATCCTTCAAAGGATCTAGCTGATTAGGGATCTGCCTAGCAAGGTCAGATCTCTCCACCTCCAGCCTAACTTTATCCGGAGATTGCATTACACTTTTCTCCTTTGAAATATCTTTGTAGAAAGTCACCTCATCAAAGATGACATCTCTACTAACAATGTATAATGACCCTAACTGGTAAATCTTAGTTAGAGATTTAATTTAAGGATTTAAATGCCATAATTAGATTCAGTGAGCGATTTCGAGTATTTTGACTGTAATCATGACTATGTTATGAACAGTGCGTTCTGCCGGAGAATTTACAGTTTTGTGAATTAACCGGTAGAGCTTAAAATGAGCAAAATAATTTTAGGAACATAATTTGAAAATTCTGATGACAAATATGAGTTCAGAACGAAAAATTGTATAGTCTGGCACTTTCCGTGAAAATCTCGTGAATAGTGTTTCTACCGGGTATTTTGTACTGCTGTTTAAGCAACCGGTAGAGTCCAGAAATAAATAATTGATGAAATAAGAATAAGAAAGTCCAATATATGCCAAGCGAGTCAATATAGGCCCAAGAAAATGATAAGTTTATAAGTGTTAAGTTTCAGAATTAAATAAAGTACAGTTAGTGGTTCACAGTGCATTTCGTTAAAAACGGTGCAAAAACCATACTGTGAATTATGAATATTGTTCCTTAGGAAATAAAAATTAATTTAAATAACTTTAGAAAAATAAAAATATATCCGTAGCTTTAAGTTAAGTTTCCGGTAAATTTAAGTGAAATACGCGATAGAAAAACATCCGACAAAAGGGCCACATGTGCCTAAATAGCTTGGCCACTTAAATGAATCACTATTCATTGCAAAAATTTCTTCTTCTCTCTCTTGAAGGGCCGAGCTTCAGCCATGGAAAAGGGGGGGGTTAGGGTTTTGCTTGTTTTGTTGATTTCTTCTTGAATTCTCAACCAAATCTTATGACCCACCACTTGAAATTGATTAGGAACCACTCAAGGAATCCATTGCACCTATCCATTTGAGCTATAGTTGAGTGTGTGAAGAGTTATTCCTCCTCTTATTTTCGGATTACTATTCATAGGAGGAGAAAAAGTGGGTTTTTGATGGAGCTTTGCTTGGAGGTTATTCTCTAGGCTTTGTACAAGTGATTAGAGGTAAGAAACCTTTATTTCTATGGTATTATTTTGTGATCTATGTTTTGAAAATTTGGAGCATGTTTTGAGTGGGAAATATTTGATGTTAGAAGGTGAAAATTATGATGGATTGTTGTTGTATAGGAATGATAGTGTTTAGTAAGCATTAATTTGTGATAAAAAAATTGAAAAGCCCTA